AGGTCATGAACAACTTCGTCCCCCATTTGTGCGGCTTGTCCTTCAAAAACTGCCGCAAGACGTTGAAGCGGCTTCGTGACGGGATGGCTGCTTCGTCGAACGCGCGAACATGATGGCACGTAGTACCCTGCTAAAAATGTCCGCTTCATGATCTCCACGACTGGTCCCACCTTCCACGCGCGATCTGTATCCGCCTTGGCATCCGAGTTGTCCAAAAAAAAATGCAGATTCTGCATGATTCTGCCAAATCGGTCTTTCGCCATATAGCGGCCGAACGTACCGGCGAGAACAGCATCGACAATCGTAGTTGCCCATTGATCAGATAGCTGTCGAGAATGCGGGCACAGCATGCGCGCAGTCAGCAATCCAATACACCTCCCGATTTCTTGGTCCTTGATCGACTTGTTTTGCTTAATTTCCTTCTCCAAAACCTCCTCGCAAATCACGTCCTTGCCTTGCTCTCTCTGCTTCTGATGCATCGGGTGGACACGCTCGTTCAAATGCTGGTCGAAGTACGGATTACCCTTCTTCGCGATATGGACCCCCAAGCTCCTACGTAAAATGAATAGCAACAAATCTAAAGGCGATGTGGCACATTCTAGAACCTCAGCTGTGGATCCATTCTCCCCGTCATTGATACCGGGATACTCGGTATCATCTGGAAATGTTTTGGAATCTAAAGTAGCAATATACAACGTAAACGTCAGTACCACATGTTGTATATCACACATGGAAATATTGTCACGTACTAAGATTCCAGCCATTCACTCGCATCGGCTGCAAACCCATTTTATCCTGTGACAGGACCGCCTGTTCATCAGCCGTAAGAAGAGCCCAATCTGAAGTAGTTTGCCCCAGTCTCGAGGTAACATTTGCACGGCCCCTTTCAACAGCTTTGGCGCCAATCTCTTAGCCTCGTACTTTTTTCTTCGAGCGATGATTGCCTCTCCATTCAGCCTGCTCTCCTCCTCTCCTTCTTCCAGCTCCTCCTCCTCCTCCCCTTCATCGTCGCCAATAGCAACGTCGTTGACGTAATGGCTGAGGCACCAGCCCACTGAGTCAGAGCTTTCGCAATTTAGACTCGCTGAAACAGTCGTATAGTCCTCGGAGTCAGGTATGTCAAGCTTCAGTGCTCTGTAATACAGGGACGATACCGGAGCTTGGAGTATTAGCGACCGTTGCTGCC